GGTTGTGGGGTGGAGGTTGTAGGGTGGACCTGGGGGCATATCCTGTTCTCGGTCTCATCTCCCAGGATCTTGGTTAACCTCCATGGTGGTATTGGCAGGGGGGTCTGGAGGAAGTGGGGAAGGGGATGTGGTAACCAAAACCACTTCCTGACTGCTGTGTTGAAAGCCAAGCTCCCCCCAAGTTCCCTTTGATGAGCCAGAGGGCAAAGGAGGAAGTTGGGGGGTGGAGGGGGGCGGCTTTTCCTTGAACTGGCTCCAGCAATAAGCCCTGGGGTTCCTGGCTCGGTGATCTCTGCCCATGTCCCAGTTGGTAAAAAGGGCCAGCTGGCTGGAGACGATCATAATTAGATAACAGCAAGCACTTATTACCATGGACTGGGCACTTTCTATCTGCTAACTTATTGGATCCTGACATTCCCATGAGGTAGGCGCTAGCATTACCCCCGGTCACAGGTGGGGATCCTGGGGCCCTGACGGACTAAGTTACACAGGGAACCAGTGGCAGAGCTGAGAGCTGAGCCCCTGCAGGCCGACTCCTGAGTCAAGCTCTCAGGCATCCCTCTCTCCTGCCTCTTCCCTGATTCCATTTCCCACACACTTGGTCCCTGTCTCCTTCTTGGGACCCAAGAGAGGTCACTTCTCCACTCGAACCCTCAGTTTTCTAATCTGCTTAATGGGGGTAAGTGGAGCAGATGAGCACACCTCCCCTTTTGTGCTTCTCTCTCTGGTAATTAATTATTCAGTCAATTTCTCTCCTGCTGGTCACTCACCTCCATGAATACAGGGACAGAAGGTCAGGGTCAATACAATTCTTTTTTCTTCTCTTTTCCCCCAACACTGTTAGGGGCACACAATTTACATATCATACAATTCAATAGTTGAATTTGTATACAATTCATATCAAGAAGAATTGTACAATCATTACCACATTGAGTTTAGAACACCCCCTCCCCCATGGTTAAGTCGCCTTTAAAATGAGTTGTGCAATCATAATCAGTTCTAGTGCTCCCTTCCACCTTCACTGTTGACTCCCGAAATCTTCTTTGCCTCCCTGTCACCCACCTTCCACCTCTATATCCCCTACAAACCCTTGTGTCCGTTTTTATCACTGTGCACCACTTCTGCGGGCCACAAACTGGGAAACCCAGCAGAAACAATAAAAAACAAAATCTACATGTGACCTCCTCCCTGGGGGAGGGACAACAGAAAAGTGGGTGAAGGGAGACGTCGGACAGGACAAGATATGACAAAATAATCATTTATAAATTATCAAGAGTTCATGAGGGAGGGGGGAGCGGGGAGGGAGGGGGGAAAAAAGAGGACCTGATGCCAGGGGCTTAAGTGGAGAGCAAATGTTTTGAGAATGATGAGGGCAGTGAGTGTACAAATGTGCTTTACACAATTGATGTATGTATGGATTGTGATAAGAGTTGTATAAGCCCCTAATAAAACGATTTTAAAAAAAGGAAGAGAAAAAAAGCATTGCTAGTAGGGGTCCAGTCTCACATTCAGCACAGGCCTATTCCAAACCAAACGTGTTTAAACATGTCTCTGTGGTCCCTGGATGGCTGCAGCCAAATTCTCTGTGATACTCTCGTCTTAGTCTCCCTAGAGTGCCTTCTAAAAAAAAAGCGTGGTTGATGAGGGGACCGGCAGGGCCACTTAAATTCAAGGCAGAGAGGTCAGCTTGGAAGGTTACGGGTGGCTGCTTTTGGACTTCCCAAGGGGAAAAGGGCTTTCATCTTGAGAGCTTTTCTTGTGGGACACAGGATGATGACGGAGCTTGTTAGGAAGTTTGAAGGAAATAGAAAACTGCATTGGAGAGGAAAAGGCGGAGGGATTCCCATCCCATCACAATGCACCTGCTTATTCCCTGAGGGCAGGAAGGACTGTCTCAGGAGGATTTCCTTGGGGAACCTTACCCCACCCAGCGTCCAGCCATACTCTTAGAACCTTCAGCCTTCTTTTTGTCCCCCAAACTCAAAGAACATTGAAAAAGAACACAAGCCAAGCACCCTAAGACTGCCTAAACTGCAGTTCCGATGAGGTGCCTGGGGAAGAGCCCGGGGCTCTTTAGGGGCGGCCTGGAGCCCTGGAAGATGTCATCAGAAGGCTGCCTTCAGGAGAGTGTCAATCCGATGACGGGGAGGCCGAGTCAACAGCTGTACATTTGGGTATTTCCATTTCGTAAAGGTTTCTGTGGTTTTGTAGTAATACTTCTCACCTAGTGGTTTGCTACCAGAAGTGATCGCCCCTCACCTGCCCCAGGGGACGTTTGACAAGATCTGGCAACATTTCTGGTTTTCACAATTGATGGAGGGGGGAGCCTGTTGCTTTTGGCATCTAGCGAGTGGGTGGAGCCAGGGATACAGTGAACCATCCCACAGGGTACAAGACAGCCCCTCAAGACAAAAAGAATGATGTGGCCCCAAATGTCAATAGAGCTCATGCTGAGAAAGTTGATAATAGAGGTGACATTTTCCCAGACAATGTCTGTGGCCCAGATGAAGACCTCCCTGGATTGGGGGGTTTTCCTCTCTGAAATCATACTGCTCTATGACTCTACACTCCCCAAACTAGAGATGAACACCCGCAGTTGTTCTCTAAAAGGTTGGAGGTTTGAGTCCATCGAGGGGCACTTGGAAGAAAGGTCTAGTCATCAATCCCCCAAATCAGCCATTGAAACGAGCCTGTAGGGCACAGTTCTATGCGAACACACAGCAAGCGGGTCACTGTGACTCAGCACCCACTTGACAGCCACTGCTTCAGGGATGGTGGTGAGGATGAGATAAAACTTATCCCATAGCACATCTTTTTTTAAAAAAATCGGTCATTTAGCATGAAGCTCACCATTTAAAGGGGGAGGGACTTGCCTCAGGTCACAATGCTAGGAAATGGCAGAGCCCTGGTTGAAAAGCAGGGACTGGCGAACTTCAGGCTTCCTATGAGAGCGGTTCACTGTTTCCATCCCAAGGGTTCTTCTGTGGGCGAAGCCTGTCAAGGGGCCAGCACATAGTAGGCTCTTTAAGGACACTTTTAAAATTGTTGTCATTGTTCTTCACAAGTAAGGCAGAGAGCCTGCTCCGTACTGGGCAGGAGGAAGGCGGGCCGGTTGCTAGGGGCGTGCTATAGTTTCTTGCTAGGAGGGGATTCCTTTTTTTCTTTTCTTTCAGGGGTGAGCGCGAACGCAGTCCCCCACTACCACAATTTGTGCAGTCGAGTTTCCCACATTTGGGGAAATCGCAGGGGTCACCACATCCGCAGTGCAATGGATAAACCTCGCCCTGGGAAAACCACCTGCCAGGTAAGTACGCTAGGAGGGGATTCCAACTCAGCTAACCAGAGGGCTGAGTTCCATTTTCTGGGCTGTGATTTTTTTTTAAGATAAATCCTTAAGATTTTCTTTTTTAGAAAAAATCATTTTATTGGGGGCTCGTACAGCTCTTATCACAATCCATCCGTCCATCCATTGTGTCAAGCACACCTGTACATTTGTTGCCATCATCATTTTCAAAACATTTTCTATCTACTTGAGCCCTTGGTATCAGATCCTCCATTTTCCCCTCCCTCCTTCCCTCCCTCCCTCATGAGCCCTTGATACTTTATAAATTATTATTTTTCATGTCTTACACTGGCTGATATCTCCCTCACTCACTTTTCTGCTGTCCGTTCCCCTTGGAGGGGGTTATATGTAGATCCTTGTGATCGGTTATAGGCTGTGATCTTTACAAGAGCAGATCTCTAGGCCTGTTCTCCTTTGTAGCCTCTGATTGGATTCAAACCACTGACCTCTCCACCAGCAGTAGAGTGCTTACCACCAGGCTAGTTGGTTAATAGCTTACCAAACCCGTGGGCATCAAATAGAGTCCCAGTCACAGCGACCCTAATGGATATGAAAGAACCCCAAACTCTCACAGGATTTCCAAGGCTGTAAACTTGCACGGGAGCCGGCATTTTCTCCCACCGAACAGGATCTTTCAGTTTGCAGATGAGCACTTAACCACTGGGTCACCTCGGCTCCTGGTTAATGGCATGAATGGTGATAACCAGAGCTGGAGCAGGCCTGGAAGGGTGCCTTGCCATCATCCCCCCCGCCCCTGCTCCCTCCCAATCATTTTTCAGTGATAGACTCAGAAGCGCAGAGAGGGGAAGGACCTTATTCCAGGTAACACAGCAGATCAGAGACTTCATGTCTCCTGTTCCCTGCCTGCAATCATGGTCTTGGGCCAGATAATTGACAGGCAGCCCATGGGCTTGCAGCATGCACCGTACTAAGCATTTTGTAGATTTGATCTCATTTTACCTGCCCATCAATTTAGGAGCAGAGGGCCCTTTTCCCAGCTGCAGAAGCAAACAGAGAGGAGAAGACTGTTGCCTGCGGTGCTGGGAGATGGTGGGGTGTCCAGGTCCCTCCCACTTGCTGCCCTCAAGGACTCTGCCTGTGGAAGAAGTGGATGGCCCCTGCGGACTTCTCCAATTCCTGGTTAGCAGTACCCACGCCTGCTCGCAGATGGAGCAGGGAGAGGAAGCTGAGTCAAGGATGTTTCTATGGAGGAGAAACTGGGACAGAGCCTGAGGGCGTGTGTGTGTGTGTGTGTGTGTGTGTGTGTGTGTAGGGGGTCAGAGAAGATCAGGGGACAGGGGACGCCAAGCTACTCTTCCATCCTCTTTCCTTCTGCTCAGCTTGTGGGGCGTTCACACTGAGGGAGGGCTGGAGGGCTCCAGCTTCACGTTCCTGCTTTCCTTTCTCACAAGCACTGCAGTTTGCAAAACCCTCACCCCTCCCATATGGTCTGTGGTTTCCTGTGGGTCTGGGGTCCTGCTACAGGCAGGGCAATGGGAGAGGAGGTGGTGGTGTAAGCCTCTCCCTCTCTCTAGCAGGCATCCCTGAGTCAGCCCTGCGGGGCTGGATGGGGAGGGGCGGAGTCACTGATTCACCTAGCAGCAGCTCCTTAAAACCCCTGAGCATGTAGCTGCCCTCAGACACTGCTGCCCTCACCATGAGCCGCTGGCACCCCCTGGTCCTGGTGTCCCTGGTACTGGGCTGCTGCTCCGCCGCTCCCCAACGGCGCCAACCCACCGTCGTGGTTTTCCCAGGAGAACTTCAAGCTAACCTCACCGACAGGCAGCTGGCAGAGGTAGGCAAACCCACTCACCTAGAGTTGGGCTGGCTGGCCGGAAGGTGCTGAGGGTCCCCAGGGTGGGCAAGGAGCCTCAGAGGTGATGCTTTGGTTGTGGTGGGCAGATGATGCCAGGTCTCGGGAGCTGAGGTGTCCAGGGCAGGCACTGGTGCTGGGGCCTGTGGATGCTCTGGGCAGTTGGGTCAGGACTGGTGTTTGTGTGGATCTCCTAGGTGGGCAATGGGGTGTGGTGCCTGGGGGAAGGATTAGAGGATTCTAGGGTGGGTGTAGCCTGGGGATGTCCAGAGTGGGTCCTGGGTATTCCAGGGGAAAGTTGGGCAAAGGGTGAGCAGGGGCGAGCCCTAAGGAATCTAGAGATAGGTATGGGCCAGAAGCATCCAGGGTTGAGAAGCAGCTAGGAGAATTCTAGGTGGGCAAAGGCCTTGGAGACCAAGTTCTGGCCATAGCCTCTTCTAGCCAAATTCTAGCCACTGCTAAACCCTGGGCACCTGGGCAGATGGGCAGTCCAGGAGGGCAGAGAGAAGAGCTAGGCTCTGGGATGCCCTAGGGGTGCTCAGCTACATGTCTTGGGCCCTCTGCATCCATAGACAGGAACCCTGGTGGTGTAGTGGTTACGCATTGGGCTGCCAACTACAAGGTCGGCAGTTCAAAATCCCCAGTCACTTAGTGGGAGAAAGTTGGGGCTTTCCACTGCATAAAGAGTGACAGTCTTGAATGCACAGGGCAGTTCTATCCTGCCCTATGGGGTCATTATGAGTTGGAATGGGCTCGATGGCAGTGTTTTCCATTTTTTTCTCTGCCCACAGCACTATCTGTACCGCTATGGCTACACCCGGGTGGCCGAGATGAACGATAATGAGCTGGCGCTGAACAAAGCGCTGAGGGATTTCCAGAAGAAGCTGAGCCTTCCCGAGACAGGGCAGTTGGACAGCACCACCCTGGAGGCCATGCGAGCCCCGCGCTGCGGTGTCCCGGATGTCGGCTTCTTCAAGACCTTCGAGGGTGACCTCAAGTGGCAACACCGCAATATCACTTACTGGTGCGGGAGGGTGGCCCCCGGGGTATGGGTGGGGAGGGCGTCCCCTCTTGGGCCCCTGGTTCATTCCTGAATGTGCACCTGGGACAGTGGCTGCCCCTCTACACCCTCACCTGCTTCCCTACCCTGGCCCCCAACCCCCACCCCTGAAAAAACTGCGCCTGGGAGCGCACGGAGGGAGTCGTTGCTGAAGCCCCTGAGGCTGGGGTGTCGCCACTGGTGTCCTCTCCCTGCCCCGCACACGTCCCCCCTCGCAGGATCCAAAACTATTCGGAAGACTTGCCCCGCGATGTGATCGACGACGCCTTTGCCAGAGCCTTCGCGGTGTGGAGCGAAGTGACGCCGCTCATTTTCACGCGCGTGTACAACGCGGACGTGAAGGACGTGGACATCGTCATCCAGTTTGGTTTCAGTGGTGAGGACGCGAGCAGGGGAAGTTGCCGGGAGGGTCCTGGCCCGAGATGGAAGGCTGGCCGCAAGCGCCGGGTGTGGGGAGCTGCACTGGGTGCAGCTGGGTGCGGAGCGCCCCGGCCGGTGGGCCGCAGGCGATCGATCGGCTAACTCGAGTTCCCTGTGCCCGCGTCCTCAGAGCATGGAGACGGCTACCCCTTCGATGGGAAGGACGGGCTGCTGGCGCACGCCTTTCCTCCGGGCCCGGGCATCCAGGGCGACGCCCACTTCGACGACGACGAGTTGTGGTCCTTGGGCCAGGGTGCCGGTGAGATCCTGAGCCGCCCGCCCCTGGGTCCCCACTCCCCTCTGCTGCCCCGCCAGCCACCCTCACCCGGCCCTTCCTCTCGCAGTGATTCCCACCCTCTTCGGGAACGCAGACGGAGCCCCCTGCCACCTTCCCTTCACCTTCGATGGCCGCTCCTACGCCGCCTGCACCACCGACGGCCGCTCAGACGGCGCGCTCTGGTGCAGCACCACCGCCGACTACGACAAGGACCGCCAGTTCGGCTTCTGCCCCAGCGAGCGTGAGTGCGGGGCGTGGCTCGGGGGCGTGGCTTGTGGGGCGTGGCTTGTGGGCGTGGCTCCGGCGGGGCGGGGCCGCCCTCCACCCTCCAGGCGCCCAAATCCCAGCTCCGCCACCGGTGGGTGGCCTGGGAGCCACCTCTCGCGGTCCCTGGGCCCAGGGTCGTCATGGGGAGGCGAGGCGAGGGGGGTGGCTCGCCCAGCGGCCGCCGGTGGGTCAGTGCCGTCGCGGTGTGGGCTTCCGCAGGGCTCTACACCGAGTACGGCAATGGGGACGGCAAGCCCTGCGCGTTTCCCTTCACCTTCGAGGGCCGCTCCTACTCGGCCTGCACCACCGACGGCCGCTCGGACGGCTACCGCTGGTGTGCCACCACCGCGGACTTCGACCAGGACAGGCTCTTCGGCTTCTGCCCCAACCGAGGTACCAACGCCCCGCGCGCCACACTCCGGCCAGCCCCCTGGCCCACCGTTGGTCCCTGAAACATGGCTCCTCCCCACATCCATTTGGCTCACCGCAACCCAGGTCGTGACCCGCCCATAGCCATGACCCCTCCCCCCAAGTTTTCAATTGCCCCGCCCCATCCACCACCACCTCGGCCCCTGGGCTCAACCCTCTGGGCTCACCTGTTAGGTGGCTTCTGCCCTCAGCCCCTGCCCCGCACCAGGGCTGCCTCATCTCAGCTGAGCCATAGAGCGCTCCCTAGGCTGAATCCTTATTGGACCCATCTACTCTGCTCTTGAGAGCTCTGGGGGCGTAGTGGTTACGAGTTGGGCTCCTAACCAAAAGGTCGGCTGTATGAAACCCACAGCCGCTCTGCAGAAACAAGAAGAGGCTTTCGGTTCCAGTAAAGAGTTAACAGTGTCAGAAACCCACTGGGACAGCTCCGCGCTGTCCTATAGGGTAGCGATGGGTCGCAATGGACATTGAGTGAGACCCGCGCCTATGAGGCTCTGGTGGTCTGGGTGGTCAGGTCAGAGCGGGACTGCTAGCCGCAAGGCGTGAGCTATGAGTCATCTCGCCATGACGGTGGGTTTGGGTTTGCGTTTGGTACCCAGTTCATATGCGAGCCTGCTGGCGCAGTCGGTTAAGCACCGAGGCCTGCGCACCTAGGTTGGCAGTGAGGCAGCCTTCTGTAAAGATCCAGGATCGCGGACAACGTATGGATCCGTTAGGGCCGATATGGCAGCGAGTGGGTGGGTGGGATCCCGCTCACCCAAGGCTCTGGGTCTCTCCAGTCGACTCAACAGTAACCGGGGGCAACGCGGCAGGAGAGCAGTGCGCCTTCCCCTTCACCTTCCTGGACAAGGAGTACTCATCTTGCACCCAGGAGGGCCGCCAAGATGGGCGCCTCTGGTGCGCCACCACCTCCAACTTCGACCGCGACAGGAAGTGGGGCTTCTGCCCAGACCAAGGTGGGTGAGGTTCAGGCCAGGCAGTGATGATGGTGGGCGGTGGAGGGATGGCAAGGCTGGGGGCTCAGCCAGCGTTCTCATCTCAGGCTCCCCTTCTCCCCAGGATACAGCCTGTTCCTTGTGGCGGCACACGAGTTTGGTCACGCGCTGGGCTTAGATCATTCGTCCGTGCCTGAGGCGCTCATGTACCCCATGTACCGCTTCACGGAAGAGCCCCCTCTGCATAAGGACGATATCCAGGGCATACAGCATCTCTATGGTGAGCTATGGGCAGGGGGTGGGGAGTGGGGCCAATCCAGGTTGAGGGTTGGGATATTTTGGCGTGGGCATGGGAGAATGGACCCCAACACATCCCTACCCATCAGTACTTAGAGATGTTGATTCAGAGCACAGACGACTCTGGTGTGAGAGGAAAGTGGGCTCCAAGCCAGACCAGCCACTTCCTGGACTTGTTACTTCATCCTTCAGTGCTTCAGTTTCTTCATCTGCAGAAAAGGGGGAACCCTGGTGGAGTAGTGGTGATGCATTGGGCTGCTGACTGCAAGGTCAGCAGTTCGAAAACACCGGTAATTGCTACTCCACCTCCCCTGCCCCCCTTTACTATGGGGCCCCTGGCCCCACTCAGTTGTTGGGTCATTAAGGCAGAAGGAAAGGGCAGAGAGCCAGAGATGCAGCCTGCCGGTGGCTGGGGAAAGCAGCTTTGGACTCTGAGGTGCGGTGGGGAGTGTGGGCCAGGCCAGGGCCATGGACAAGCGTCAGGCTTTGAGGAGACTTCCACGGGTATGAAGATGTGGAAAACAGGCATGTCTTATCTGGTGTTTCTTTGCAGGTCCGCGTCCTAAACCTGACCCACAGCCTCGGACCACCACGACACCTAAACCCCAGCCCACAACTCCCCCAACTGTCTGCCCCACTGGCCCCCCAACAGTCCAGCCCTCAGAACGCCCCACTGCTGGTCCCACAGGCCCCCCTTCACCTGGCCCTACGGGTCCCCCCACTGCTGGCCCTCCCGAAGCTCCCACAGTGCCTTTGGATCCAGTGGACGATGCTTGCAACGTGCACATCTTTGATGCCATGGCAGAGATCAGGGACCATCTTCACTTCTTCAAGAATGGGTGAGGGGACAAGGGGTGTGGTTGAGGCAAGGAGGCTTGGAGAGGGCACCGATCGAGGATCCCGATCCCTTCCGGGTCACAGGTCCTCAACTGTGGCTCAGTGCTCACCTCTCCCCTTCCATGTTCCCAGGAGGTACTGGCGACTTTCTGAGGGCCAGGGCCGCCGGGTGCAGGGGCCCTTCCTCGTCTCAGACACGTGGCCCCAGCTCCCTGGAAAGCTGGACTCTGCCTTTGAGGACCCACTCACCAAGAAGGTGTTCTTCTTCTCCGGTTCGTTGCCACTTCTCCTCCTCCTACCTCCAGACGTAGCAGATAAACAGTGAAACACCTTGGTGTCGAGAGCCAAAGGCCTGCCTGCTTGCCTGGTGGATGCAGTGGAGCCCGTTTATAGCCAGAGACCAGTTGCCATGGTGTCACTTCAAACTCATGGTGGCCCCATGGACGTCAGAGAAGAAATGCACTCCAACTGGTTTCCAGTGCCTGTGACCTTTTGGAAGTAGACTGCCAGGCCTTTCCTCCAAGTGCTTTTGGGTAGATCCCCCAACTCCAGCCATCCTGTTAGCAGCCAACCTCTTGGTTAGCCTTAGCTAGTTTCTAGGGGGCTGAATTCCAGCTTTCCCCACGACATATCCTGTGGTTGTGCCCTTTGGGGACTCAGTCTGGGGTGGTTCCAAGTTTAAGCAGCGTGGGGACCGCCACCCGGGGCCCCTAGACTGATAGGATCCTTTTCTCCTGCAGGGCGCCAGGTGTGGGTGTACACGGGCGCGTCGGTGCTGGGTCCGCGGCGGCTAGACAAGCTGGGTCTGGGTCCCGACGTGCCCCAGGTCACCGGCGCCCTTCCGCGCGGCGGGGGCAAGGCCTTGCTCTTCAGCAGGCAGCGTTTCTGGAGGTGAGAGGCTCGCGGTCGCCGGCAGGGGGAGCCCGGGCGCCGTCCCGGGCCCGGCGGCTCAGCACCTGTCTGCTGCCTGCAGGTTCGACGTGAAGACGCAGATGGTAGATCCCGGGAGCGTCAGCCAGGTGGACCAGATGTTCCCTGGCGTGCCCTTAAATACTCACGACATCTTCCAGTACCAAGGTGAGGGTGTGGCCTCGGGCTCTGGTGGGGGGAGGGTCCCAAACACCCCAGCACGGTGAGACATACCCCAGGCCACATGGAAGTCAGGGGCCCAGTCATGCTGAGGCCCTAAATTCCTGGCTCCTGGCTGGAGCCTCTTCTTTTCAGCTCTGCAGCCTCCTTTCCTCTCCAACCCCCAGAGGTTGCTCAGAGGCCCCCTCCTTTATGAAACACTTATTTATCAAGTGCCCCTAATGTCATAGGCGTCATGCTGTAGGGGTGGGGGTGGGGGGCTGCAGTGAGAAACAAGACACTCACTTCTCAGCTGCGTGTCTTTGGGCAAGCCCCTGCCCCTCTCCGAGGCTCATTTTCCCTGCCTCTAAGATGGGGGTGTAGTTGGAATTATACTCCTAACTATCTATTCACCTTCAGTCTATTGACCAGTTTTGTGACCCGATCGCCAAGATGTTTTTTTTGCATCTTGTCACTTTTCACCATTTCTTTGGCTAACCCCTTTGTCCAAGCCATACTGGTGGTCCGATATCTATCTGTACTATAATATAGTCCTTGGGGGTAGGGATGGGTTAGGAATAGTTAGAGGCACTGGTCTTGGGGGTGACCTCCGACTCATCCCCAGACATCTACCCAATCTGAACTCCACCCTGGTCCTCATCTCCTCCCATGACTCCTGTCACTTACTCTGCTCTGCCATACCCACCTTCTGGCAGCTGTTGGTGCAGATCAAGGTCATTCCTGGCTTAGGGCCTTTGAAACGGTTGCTCCCTCTATATCTGCCCTTCCCCCAAACCATCACCTGGTTGCCTCCCTCTCATCCTTCAGGTCTCACTCAGTTAAGGCCTCCTTCCCTGACCCCCAGGATCATCTCTTACTCCCTTTTGCTTCCTCAAGATCTTCTCATCGGGTTTACTTGGTTGGCTTGCTCACCCAAGGACCTGTCACACCTGTCTCTCTGATGTATCTCCCTGGCCTCAGACAGTGCTTGGCACATAGTAGCTGCTCAGTGAACAGCAGTGGAATATATAAATGAAGTTGTGGAATGGATGGGCCCCTGTTCAGTGAATGATTCTGAGCATTAAAATCACTCATTCATTTGTTAGTTCATTCACAAGATGAAATGTCTGCTGAGCACCTACTGTGTGCCAGGCTCTGTGCCAGTGCTTTGGATGTCAAGGTCTGTGTTTTCTAGCATCTCACAGGCAGATGAGGACGATGGTGGTGGCAGATGAGAACTTTGGAAAGCTTTAGAAAGGGCAAGGGGGATGATTGAAAAGATCATGCTCCTCTTTGGGGATGTGGGTATAGGAGGGTTGCGATCACCACCCTCACACCTATGTCTCTCCCTTGCAGGGAGAGCCTACTTCTGCCAGGACCGCTTCTACTGGCGGATGAGCTTCCAGAATGAAGTGAACCAGGTGGACCAAGTGGGCTACGTGAACTTCGACCTCCTGCAGTGCCCGGAGTACTAGGACTCTGTGTTCTGGCAGTGCAGTGAGAGTCACCATTGGGGACCATCTCTGGGGAGAGGGGGAGCCAGTTTGCTGGCTACAAACTGGTGGATCTATTCTGAGGACAGGGAGGAACAGGTGGGCTGGCCCCCTCCTCCCAGCTTGTTACATTTCTAATAAACTTGGATTCTTTAACCTTGAGAAGCCTATTTGTATGGATATGTGCATGAATTTATTTAATGGATAGAGTGCTTACTATAGGTCAGGTGGTGCTCCAAGCAATTCCTAAATATTAATAGATTCCAACCTTAAAGGACCTGGTGGCGTAGCAGTTAAGCACTTGACTGCAAGCCCAAAGGTTGGCAGTTTGGACCCATGAGCTGCTCTGCAGAAGAAAGAGGTGGCAGTCTGCGCCCACAGAGATTGGCAGCCTTGGAACCCTTTGGAGAATGTATACTGTTCTGCCCTACAGGGTTTCTCTGAGTTAAGATGGACGGCAGCATTTTTGTTGTTTATGTAATCCTTAAAGGAAAAAGAAAACAAACCTACTGGCCAGTCAATTTCAATTCCTGGTGGTAGCACGTGAGTCAGAGTAGAACTGTGCTCCGAGGATTTTTAATGGTGGGTTTTCCCGAAGTAGGTTGCCAAGCTTTCGTCCTTCCAAGGTGCCTCTGGTGGACTTGAACCTCCAACCTTTTGGTGAGCAGCTGAGGGTGCTGTTGGTACCATTGAACTTCATCCAATCCTCATAACCACCCTACTAGGGAAGCATCTTAGACTGGGCTCAGTCTCAGGCAAACCAATGGCGCTTCTGTGTGTGTGTGTGTGTGTGTGTGTATAAATTTACATAAAGAAAATAGCTCACACAGTGGTAGAAGCAATCAAGTTGGAATTCAGGCAAGTTCCAAGACCACAGATCAAATGTTATACTGGCTTCTGATTCTTAGCTGCAAGGGGCTGATGTCCCCAAGACTGGCAGGAAGATCACAGGCCCATGGCTGCAGAGGTCAGCAGGTCATACTTATGGCTTCAAGGTAACTGAATCTAAAGGTTGGCAGGTCAAAGAGCCGACCCAGACTCAGCAAAAAGCAAGCAAGCTTTTTCCATAGTGCCCATTTATATTGGAAGCAGGTCAGACCTCCAAGGAAACTTCCTTTCCATTGATTGCATCAGGGCCCTGCCCCGAGTAAGGATGCTGCATCCCACCTTAATCTTCTTACAACGGATCGACTGTGATTTCTCTGTGTTTGATCAGGTCGTGGGGGATTGATTACTAGGCATTAACTGCCAAACCATGGAGAATCCTGGCCCAGTCACGTTAACGCAAAACCTTAACTATAACAGAAAGTATGCTATGATCATTTTATTTCACAACTTAGGAAATGGCTTATCCCCCTTCTCTGGTCCCTGTGGGAGGCGATGAGGTAACAGTGAACCTGTGGCTCAGGTCCAGAGAGCCTTGGTGCATGTAGGGATTGTACAAGAGACCTTTATACACTAGATGTCAGTAGCACCACCCTACCCCCTGTTGTGACAACCAAAAATATCTCCAAACATTGCCAAATGTCCCTTAGTAGGCAACACCGCCTCCAGTTGAGACCCATTGCTTTTGTGTATTCAACCTACTCACAAGTGTCCCTATCACAACTGGACAGTTCAATAAAACTGGACATGTCACCAACTGTGTACCCAGCTCAAGAACCAAAACATCAGCTGCCCTTCAGAAGCCAGGCCCTCCCCGCTCCTGTAATTCCTACCCCTTTCTTCCCAATGAGCCACTACCATGACTTTTAACAGTATAGACTGCCTCACCTTCAACTTTATTCAGATAACGCCCTACAGCATGCAGTGACTTCTTGTTCTATGTGTGCGATTCATCTGTGTTGTTCGGCGAGTCGCAGGCTGTTCCCCCTCGAGACAGTGTGCCCGTGCATCACAACTCATTCACTTTACGGCTGACGGGCGCTGGGGCAGTGCCCCACGTGGAGCCACGGCAAACAACACCATGGAGAGCCGGACATGTGCACATGTGCAGTTACCTCTTTGGGGGATATGCCTAAGAGTGGACAAAGGGTATGTGTGTGCTGGGCTTCAGAGGATGAGACCTTGTTTCCCAGTGTGATGTCATCCACCATCAGGATAACCCCGGGGTATGCCCAGGGCTCCTCCTTGACTCTATCCCTTTCCCTCACATGCCAGACCCAACCCGCTGCAGGTCCTGTCTGCTCCACTTCCATGGCTGGAACCTGATGGCTGCCACTACGCTAGGCCAGCAGTCATCACTTCTCACGTGGAGATCCACGGACATCTCTGCATTTGGCTTGTAGTGTGCGCGCGCGCGACTGGGCATCTTTAGTGAGCCTTCCCCCAGTGGCCCAGACGGATCCCATTAGAACAGGCCTCAGATCACGATCACGTTACCCACCTGCTTCTAAATCTCAGTGGCTTTCCTTTCAGATTAGAAAAGAATCCTAGCTCCTTCTTGAGAGACCACATTCCTTGCTTACCTCTTCTCCTTCATCCACCGGGTTACTCACCCCCCACCCACCCCTCTGGTCCCTTCTGGAACAGGATTAGGCTCTGGCCAACCCCCAGGGCCTTTGCATTTGCTGGTTTTTTCCCTGGAGAACTCCTCCCCCAGGGCTTTGCAGAGCTGGCTCCTTCTCAGGTGGCAGCTGAGAAACCCCTTCTTCCGACAGGCCTCCTCAATTCTCCCGGACCACCCCTGAGCATGGCCTTCCTCCTGGTCTACCCACAGCCTGCTTTTCTTTTCTTCTTCCCGGAACCTATACCACAATCTCAAATGATCCGGTCTATGGCTTTGCTTGCTTTGTGATCTTGCCCTCTCGAGCCTCACTAGAATTTTCGCTGCAGGAGAGCAGGAAGTCCGGCGAGCTCATTCACTGCTGGGTCCCCATTGCCTGGCACCCCGCCCGATACACGCGGCGCTGGCGCTCGCAATACGTGTTGAATGAATGAGTCCCAGTGTTTGGGAGAACCTAGCAGAGTTGTCAGGGGCTCTGACGGCTACACACTAGAACCCTCTAGCTCGAAGGGGCTGTCAGCTGCGGTGGGCTCTTCGGGGGGGCTTCTTCCGGGGGGCACCGAGAGTCCTGGGCCTCCGGGTGAAGTCGCCCGGTTCACGGAGCTCAGCTGAGCGGGCACTAGGACCCTGCGTGGCGCCGCGGCGAGCGGGGGGCGGCGGGCGGGGGGATCCGCTTTCTCCCTCTCAGAGCCTGGCTGCGGCCACTTGTGCGACCTGGGCCCCGGCGCGGTGGCCGCCGGCTTCTTACCGCGCCATGAGCCGCAGGTTCACCGTGACCTCGCTGCACCCCGCAGGGCGCGCCGGGGGCCCGGACTCCGAGCCCGGCGGACAGGCGGCCGCAGCCCCCCGCCACGTCCCGCGGGAAGACGCCAAAGGTAGAGGCCGCAGGGGGCGGGGCCCGGGGGGCGGGGCGAGATGAGGTGTGGGGGCGCCCGGGGAAGGGCGGGCCTTCTGGTGAAAGGGGTGGGGTCCGCACTGAGGATAGAGGTCCCAGCGAAGGGCAAGAGCGAGGAGCGGAGCAGCACCAAAGGAGGAGGCGGGGCCTAAGGTGTGAAAGGGCGGGGCCAGACAGGGGCGGGTCCACAGGGAAGAGGGTGGAGCCATGGGGAGAATTGGGGCCAAAGGCCAAGGCTACGGCCAAGGAGGCTGGGATCGGGGCCATGAAAGGAGTGTGGGGGTGCATCTGGTGTAAGGTGTGGGGATCAGAGGGGAGGAGGGGGCGTGTGATCGATGGGGGAGGGGCAGAACCTAGGGGAAAGGGAAGGACTAGCTGGATTAGGAGCTGAAAGAGGGCGGGGCCAGGACGATGGAGAGGAGTCTGGGCTGGGGAAAGGGGGGCGAGAGTCAAAGGGGGTTCTGAGGAAAAAATGTGACCAGGTCGTAAAGACAGGTGTGGGGTCAGGGGGTCACTGGTGCCTGGCGGGCCCTTGGAATGTCGCAGACAGCGTCCGGGAATCCCAGGAAGAAAATGGGAAGTTGGTTTGGACCCTATACAGCCAGATCCAAGGAGGATCCTTTAAGCCCCGACCCTCAATGACCCACTTGGCTTTCTGCTTCAGCACCCGATGGTTTGGCAGGAACCTCATCAGGTGGGATGGAGGGCGTCTTCCTCTCAGGCCCCAGTGCACAGAGGAGAGCGGAGGGGAAGAAGGCTGCTTCTAACCTTCGTTGAAGAGGTAGTATCTTAGCTGCACCCACAATAGCTCTGGCAGTGGGCATTTGCCTGGGTCCTTGCGTGCCTCTGCGCCCTTCAAGTCTGGAGGGAACTAGGCCAGCCGTCTTGGAGTGGCCTCAGTGTGGAGGAGGCGGAATAGCTTCCTCGAACCGCCAGGGGTCGCTGCCGAACCGCAGGTGAGCGCGCTCTGACCCCAGCAAACCTAAGGTCCCAAACCTTAAGAGATGATGCCCTTAGGGACCTCTTTGGCCAACGTCCTCCCTGGATAGAGAACCACATTCAGGCCTAGAATTTCCCAGGACTCCAGGCCTGGGAACCAACCGCCTCCTGGACTTGGCCACTCAGTTGTCTTGGGCTCCTTCGACTTTTCGGTTCCGAATGTCCCTGCCTCGTTTCCCACTTTCAGGCTCATCATCCTCCCAGGACTGAAAGATGTCTAGGAGCCATGCTCAAAGGCCTTTTTCTCTTCCCACCGAAGCAAATGGGTCCTCAAGTCTTGGCCACTTCTTCTGCACAACTTACCCTGAATCTGGCGACATGTCCCACCTAGCTACATCCACAGCCTCCTCATGGTCTGTCTCTGCCTCAGTCCTGCCTTAATCACCACTCCCCCGCCTCCGCACCCCCCCTCCCCGCAAATTCCTAAGCACCCAAGCCCCTTGGTCCTCTGTAAAAGCTCTTCTGTCATCTTCTCCTGGTATCGCACCTGGCCCCACATTAGCCAGGGAAACAAACGCCTCTTCATTCTCCCAGAGTGGTAACTCTGAACTCCTCCCTCACTTTCCCTCGATCCCAGGCCAAGGCAAACATTGCCGCCCCCCTCCCGGAGTACACCCCACAGAGGGCCATGGTTTTACTCATTGTCTCTTCCTGTGGAACATCTCAGGGGCAGGGACCATGCTGCTTTGTGGAGCTGAGCCGTAATGCTCACCAGGTGGGAGGGGAAGTGGCTTTTACTGTGGCCTGCCCCCAGTCTTCCCT